CTGCGGGGAAGCGCAGAAGCCTTCAAAGACCGGTAAGGAGCGCAGGCGGGCAAGTGGGCCCTTTGCCGTTCCCGGAAGTTACTTACTTCTGGGTTCGCCGACCAATCGGTTCGCGGGGACTGCCGTGAACCGGTTGAAACCCACCCCTGCATTGAGTCATGCTTGACTTCTGGCAATAGCTTTGTGTACAGTAATACACTTGTAGCTCTTTCAAGGAGGTCCCGTATTATTTTTTCTACCTGCTCCCACTAGATGGCAGCAAAGATATAATTTCTTGTGGCCTTTGTTTTTAACTAGATCAGGGGTGTCAAACTCGATTTCATCGAGGGTCGCATCAGGGTTATGTTCACAGTTGGGCTGCAACCGGTTTGAACCGGTTCAAGCGAACTGGTTGTTAAGATTCTGCGTAATTCGATGAACCGGCAAATCCCACCACTAGCTGGCACCCCCACCCTTCCCCCCACCCCCTGAGTTTGCCATTCAGAGTGGGGAAGCTGCAGGGGCCTGACTGGGCGCTGTGCTGATCAGCTGGGAGGCTGTGAATGAACCTGCAGCACCGATCAGCTGGGAGGCTGCCACCCCCTGCAGCCCAAGAAGACCATGTGACCACCAGATTTTTAAAAAGTTCAGTCAGACCTTCCAAGTTCACAACATGTCTCCCCCCCCCCCCCCAATTGGAAGGTCTGACTGAGTTTTTTAGTCAGAGAATGTGATAGGGTGGGAGTGAGGATTGTGCATTATCATTGGTCTGGGATAGGGTTTACACTACACTACACTACTCTTTTATTGGTTTATCCCTTAGCTTTGTATTTTTTTGATGCATGAAGGATCAAATACTCAGCCATTATAATTCTATATTCCTTATTTATAGAAATCATATCAAGGCTCCGTTTTTGGCCATGACAGCCTCCTGCAGTCCTCTGTCAGAGAAAATGGAGCATAGGGGAGCTGCGCACGGCCTGCCCGGGCTCCGATTTTGTTGCCAGAGGCACCGCGGGCCAGTCCTCTACTGTTTCCAGGGCAGGCCTGCGGACCAGATCCAAGCACCCTGCGGGCCGGATGCGGCCCATGGGCCTTGAGTTTGACGCCCCTGAACTAGATCAATCCCTAGAATAGAGCTACCATAGCTGAAGAGCAGAAATTCAGATGACCAGTAGATGGCAGCAAAACTATAGTAGTAGAATTCTGTCTTTGCTGCTACCTAATGGCTGACTAGGCCAGATAGGTCATCCTTATACAAGGCCTAGAAAATTGTAGTTACATTCTAAAATCAAATGCTATTGTTCCAAAGGTAATATTTTCCTATTACCTTGCACAAATTTAAAGAGATGAACAATACGCACTGACAAAAATGAGTCTGGCACTAAGGCGAAATAGCTCTTTTTTATTAAAAAGATATATGTAATTAGCTTGATTTGCTAAAGATGACCGTATCCAATAATAATGACTATATTTTTAAAATTACTCTGACAGCTAATGAAAATAGTAGAAAAATGAGAATCAGTTGACATAAAATATTGATATAAAGAAGTGACTAAGTGGGCAACTGCATTTGGAATATTTTAAACAGAAAATGGCTGAGATCCTTGAAGACAAATAATGTCTATTGGGCAAACTACAAAAAAAAAAAGTATTTGTCAGCAATCTTCAAACTAGGATCAAATTGGTCTGATAGTAGCAATTTGAGATAGAAAGAATAAATGCCTGCAGGCTTAAATGCTTACAGCAAGCTCATTTTACAGAAGTTTCCTCAATGAGGTAGACTAGCCAAAAAGTAAAAGCAAAGTCATGGTTGGATTTTCTCTCCATAAATAAGGAGATAATGTTAGCATGTGCTTTATAACTTGCTACACTTTTATCTAAACCAGTGTTTCTCAAGCTTGGCAACTTGAAGATGTCCGAACTTCAACTCCCAGAATTCCCCAGCCAGCATTCGCTGGCTGGGGAATTCTGGGAGTTGAAGTCCGGACATCTTCAAGTTACCAAGGTTGAGAAACACTGATCTAGACACACACCCTTGGTAGTAAAAAATAAATAAATTGACCCAGGCTTTTTAAATAATATTGTCCAAAGATTTTTTCAGTTTCCTCTCTGTGGGAAGCCCCCCCTCCTCCTCAAAGT